TTAGTCCTCAATCCTTCTTCTAGTAGAATGGCTGAAGGAGAAGACAGTGGCTACGGTCTCTATCAGGAAGATCAAGATGATACCCTTGATTGTGAGTCGTGGCATCGTACGGCACTACTCGAATGATGAAGCACTGTCAGGGACGGGTCTACTGGCCCTCTTCGTTTACTGGGGTGTGTCTGTCGGCTACTACACGATATTCCACTCGCTCATTTTCGTTGGCGGTACCGATTACCGTTGGGTACTGCTAGGAGTATGGTTAGGTAGTAAGGAGGGTGTTGACCTGAGAATGATCCCAAGTGCCCCCGTAGGGACCATTACCATAACACTGATTTTAGTAGCCGTTTGGGCACCAAAGAGGAGGAAGCTTCGTGAAGAGGTAAAGGCTGTTTTGAGCCGCAAAAAGGCTAGTCCTGGGTTCAGGCGGGGCTCGGGCGTCGAGTCACTATTGCCGAGGCCTTGAGATTGAAAGAACTGGAGCAGCTACACGGGGAATGATAATGTCGCCATCATCAATGGCAGGTCAACAAAGCATACAACACGCTGAATCCAGTAATTCGTACACATGTGCTGTAGACGATGTGTAGCTGTTGCGTTCATTAGAGCTGTATTATGCGTGGGGGTAGTCTCTTCTTTACTTTCTACTCTTTCCTTATGACATTTGATTCAGCCTTCCCCATGGAAGCACCTTTGGCAGTGAAGCCACTGCAAGTTGTCTTACTTGCCCAAGAGGTAGTATCTCGGTAGAAGTAATCAACCACTATCGGAAGTTGAGCTCGCACAACTCTGAGTGTGAAACTTCTCGCAGGGGAGAGTTTAGTGACAGCTCTTGTGAGATTTTGCTTCAGATTATAGAAGCTAAACTTTCTGCTGTGGAAGAAGACATTACTTACTTAGAGAAAAAACGAGCCTGTTACGTCCAGCAGAGGTAGGAAGCGTACCGTTGACGAGTTGCTTATTCGGCCCCCCATTGCCAGGCTGGAGATAGCATGTGAACTGCAGAGAAGGCAAATGCTGGCTATGCCTATTGGTCAGCTCCCTTTCGAACATATAGTTCAGTTCCTCACTGACAGAGACGTGGCGAGGCTATCCGCTACTAGTCGTCATTACCGTGTGGCGTGTCGCGACCCTATTAAAGGGAAATTGATGGTCCCTCACATTGCCCATGGTGGAACCAGTTCTGCGTCCTTTGGTCGCACCATGAAGGCTGTGAGCCGACTGTGTCTGCCAAGCATCGAGAGCATGAAACTAGATGCCCGGAAATCAGGGGCGCATGGCCTTCTCTCGGCACTGTCTCGCCTAAGTGCGGGTTCGGTATCGAATCTTCGGACCTTACGGGTCAACTGCGCTGCTGAGAGGGAGTTCTTTGTTGACAATCTGCTGGAGTTCTGCACTGAGGTGATGGCACCCAACCAGCTGGAGTCACTCCATATTAGCGGCCTTCGAAGCTTCGATGCCTTGTGCGAAATTCTGCGAGCCCATAGCGCCTCTCTCAAGACGGTGCGAGCGGACTATTTTGTAGCGGGACACGAGACGGCATTCGAGAAGGAGGCCCTACCTATCATGCCGAAGCTTACATCATTAGCTCTTGATGTGGCAGATGTGACGACGATATCGGCGTCATTCGCACTGGAAATGCTCAACGCTATTGAGCGACCTGAAATGGTGAGCGAGTGGTACTCAGCGGTTTTTCAGTTGATACCCGCAGGTTACGCGATTGTATCTTCCTCACGTTGAAATCAGTGGAGACAGTCACGATGTTAGTGCTGTAACTAAAGCACTTAGTCGCTTCACTTCTTTGAAGCAACTAGTAAGCAGTGAGACTCTCATATTGTGTGGAGTTCGTTCCGGGATAGGTCCTGAGATTCGGCTTCATGCCAGTTAGTGTCGAGAAGCTCATCAGGATGCGGCAGATGGACTTGGGACACCTTCCAGCTGTCTGCATATCCGATCACTTCATTGTCGCCATGGAGAAATGGGCACCCTGGTGGCCTAGCATTGCTGAGGTTGGTCCCCCTCTGCTTACCTTAGGACTAACCATGGTCGTGTAGGTGTGGGAGAAGGAGGATGGGATTACTGGACTGTCGGTATTTCACGAGCAGATCGACTTTGAGGCTCTCGGCACTTCGGCGGCTCGAGAGTGGTCCAAACTTAGTCCCGAGGAACAGCAAATGTGGGAGAAGAAGATCGCTCCTACGGTTAAGCGCCTCTTCGTGGAAGCTCGAGCGAAAGCACCACCACGAGAGGTCCCACGGCTTGGCAGAAGCCAACAGTGTGTTGCTTCTGGATGACGAACTCTTCCAGTGTCCGTTTAACTCATCATATTCTTGGCTTGCCGCCTTATGTATAATATCATTGATCGATACTAGTCAGCATCTGCTTGAAAGCCTTTGGGCTCGCTGTGAGTAATGTCAGATTGTCTTATCTTTCGGAAGCGCACGATTAAGCCGCTCCGTTGTTTGTTGTTGCTGGTTGCGATGATCGTAGTCTTGGATTGTTGCTCAGTTGCCTCCTACGTACAATACAGGCATTCTGAATGCCATTATTTCTGTTCATATACACATCGTTGTCGTCCGAATTCTTATATCCGCTATGGTAAACTAGAGCTTATCAGCAACATATTGTGGATAATTCCCTCATGGCTTGAGTATTTGAGTTGAGGCAATCACGTCGTGCTCCTACCGCTAGTTTCACTCATACAAGAGAAGTAGTAGTGGTACTTACGTGTTTTGAGGGGACTCAAGCTGTTTGGCATGGTATTACGTTGAAGGGACTACGTTAGCTTGTTACAGTGGTTGAGGCACGTTCCTCCATGCGCTGATTGTTCAGTGTCTGTTAGCGGCTTTTAGCCCGGCCGTTTGAGGGCGCTATCCTTGTGAACTAGTCCGTAGGCTCACTACTTCGAGAAGTTGTGACTTCAATGCAAGTTGTGTGATGAGGATGAGGTAGATGCACTCAGTCGTTCATGCGGTATAGTGTTCGGAAGTCTTGTTGCTGTAGTTGATTATTCTGTCCTAGTTGATAATAATACTTGTCCAAGATAACAATATCAATACATGATGTCTCCGCGTAAAAATACTCTACAACTGCCGCCGCCGCCGCTGCCGTCTGATACGCTACGGGTGCGAAGTATGAGTGACGCTACCTCAACCTCTGAACAGCTCTTACGAGGAGTCCCTCTCGGAGTCGTTGTATCAAGATGGTCCTTATTTCGTAGTCCTGAAGCTCATCGGGACATTTATGACTTGTCTGAGCCCGTTGAGAATTTGGATGCTTTCATCAGCCACTCGTGGGCTGGCAATCCAATATGGAAACACATCTCGCTGGTAACAGTTGTCTATCTCAGGGAGGGGTATATTGCTATGCTGACTGTTCTCCTCCCTCTTTCAATTGGTGTTTATTTTCTACCCTCGTACCAGGAGTTGGCCTCTGTCTTTGTCGAGCTCATCGGTGTGGCCGCTATGTGCTTGGGAGTGGTGTACGGTTACCGCTTCGCGAGGAAAAAGTCTAGTAGGAAAGTATTTCTCGATAAGTGTTGTATACCACAGGATGATCCAGTAGCTAAGCAAAGGGGTATATGCAGTATCAGTGTCTTTATCCATCACTCTAATAAGCTGGTGATCCTCTGGACCCCAGACTACTTCTCGAGACTTTGGTGCGTCTTCGAAGTGGCGTCCTTCATGCGAACACATAGCCCGGATGCAATAATCTTAGTATCTTCACTACAGAGTCGGTTTTGTATTTCGGTCACTGCTTGCGAAGTCGCACTTTTGGTAACCGTCATCATTACTGATTTCTTGTTCAAAATCCACCCATTATCACTGTATGGTCCTCTGGTTGTACTGATCATTATAGAGGTGGTAATCACTTTAATAATCTGTTTCGAAGTCATATCTGGCTTTGTTCCGGCGAAGGCAAAACTCAACAAGCAAGTCGAAGCCTTCCGTGTTGAAGAAGCACAGTGTAGTCTCCCAGAAGATACTCGTGTACTGCGTCAAACCATTGCCCGATGGTATGGTTCGGAAGCTCAATTCGAGGATAGTCTAAGGACTAACTGGCCACGACTAGGAGCCACTCAAGTTCCTGAGTGGTCTTTGAGTGGTAGAAGTCTTGGAATAGTGATATTCCCTTATGTAATTATTTCGGCACCACGAATAGCCTCTCTTATATCTTCGCCTACGATAGCTCCTAACGACAACTGGTTGCTCTATGTTCGAGACGTGCTCATCGCATGCATTATGTTGGCTTGTCGTACACCCTTGCTAGCGTTTGTTGCTTGCAAGCTCACATCCTCGGCTAAGAGGCGTGGAATATCCAACTGGCCTGTGGTTATCGTCGTTATATGCTTTGGTTTGGTATACGATATGGCAGAGATAGTTGGAGGAGGCGTTGCGTTGTTCGATTCGAACCTAGCAACACAGCTCAAGCTTCCCGAACCCTATGGATGGGTATTCGTCATCCCAGCCTTCATTTGTGCCTTCGCCGTCTGGTGGACTTACCGTGGTCATGCGATTCGGTTACGCCGGAGACGTCCTCAGAAATCGGTCAGCTCAGAAAGCTCCATTTGATGAGCTTCTTTGGTCGCTCCTGTGGTTCTCTGTCATTGATTATATTTTCTCATCGAATAACTCATATCACTCTGCTCCCTTCCGGATTCGGGTGGATGTGGGATCGTCCAGGCACGTGGAGGCTCCGATAAGCTTACGATGTGGTGGGACGAGAACGTTCTCCTGCTGGAAATGGTGCCGGAGCCAAGCATTTTCAACTAAGCAAAATCGTTCCCTCTGGGCAGTGAGGTTTGCACATTTATAGTTCAATTATTTTCTACCATTCCACACAGTTACCAATCGGAATGATTCGACATTTTGCACGAGTCGCTGTATCTTCGTTCCCTTGACGATTGCGTTAAATTAACGCCGAAGCCGGTATGCTATTGGGGGCATCGAGTTGGGATGATGAACTTCATTGCTGTGGGAAGGGTGTATCTGATTCAGCCCCAAAGCGTGTATGGAGGCTTCAACTCGACTCTAGTCTTTCACCTCAAAACCTGCGTAAGATGGCCAGGCCGGAAGTAAATTCCTCTACTCTGGTTGGCCTCTTTATAGTGTATAGTGTGTGTGTGAGTGAACTCGATGTAGATCTGTCGCGATTCGCGTCGAGAAGAAAAGGGTCACTCCAAATATGGGGAAGATGACATTCGACGATCTTTGTACGCTTATCACATCTTGTGGTGAATAAAGGACGAGCGTCGCTCTGAAGGTGTCTCTGAAGGCTCGTTCGTTCTCGATATCAACGTCAGACTTGAGATGGGTAGTCTGTCTGTTGGTATCACTCTGAGTGAGGCTCCTTGGAAGCTTATCAGTCCTTCTTCGTTGTTGATAGGGAGATTGTCAAGCTACATTCCTTGATACTTCGAGTTCTATGTCCGCCGTCAGTGCTACACCGTCAGACCAACGAGAAGCAACTCTTCGGACTCTCCAGCGTATATCGGACTTGCTCGACACGGGTCTCACTCCTCGTCAGCTACGACTATGTGTGGCACTGTTGGAAACTCGGGTGAGTTGAAGTCTTCTTGCTGGTTTTCAAGGTGTATCGGATCGGGTCTCAGATTGTTAATCCCGAAGCACTAGCCCATGTAATTACCGAGATTAGGAGAGAGTGTGGTACAGTTGGAGATGGCGAGAACGATGGAGTAGCCCGAGGAAACGTTGCACGTGTTGATGATTAACTGTTGCTTAATTGATTTCTCTGACTGGCCAACTTATCGCGTTATGTGGAACAGTCAGACTCCGCTACTGCGACATAGGTGAGGCAAATGACCATCGTGGAAAGGTTCTGATCAGTCAACGCTCAATACGTGTTGTACATGAGATTCACTTTCACGGCATCACTGAGAGGACAGGCCTTGGGAGAAGAAGTCAAGCACCTTCGGTTTATCCTCGCCTAGAGCACAAGTCCCACTGAAATCCTCGATGTCGGGGTGGAAAAGCCCCCGTACGTCACACTAGGGGCCTATCAAAATGCCTCACCTCCCGAGCCAGCTCTTGGCAAACGCCATTCCGAGAGCTCGGACGAAAATGGCTCGTCGAAAATTCCAAGCATTTTCCTGAGTCCGAGTAACCCTATTTTCCCGCTTCACTTCAGTGTTGCGTTTTCCAGTTTGAAGAGCTTTCGAGGTACCTCTTATCTCGGGAGATCTTCGAACTCGATGGAACAGACCTCAAGCAAAGAAGCTGGGACCGGGAAGTCGTCAGTTTAGTTGCCATACCTTTATCGGCTAGGTGTAAAATTTTTGATGTTATATGGTTTATATGAATTATGGACGCTTTTGTAGTCTTCGGTGCCGAAGTGTTGATCATTGTTGCGGTGTCCATCTTGGGTATTGCAAGTATCAACGTGGAGGTTAAGACGCCTTCCTATGTCTGTATGCTGGGCTGTAGTTTCTTTATGGCGGCCCTCTTAGGACTATTCATTATCTATGAGTATTTGCCACATAGACTCAGGTTACATCGGCAAGCTAGTGAGTTCACAGTTGAGGATGGTGAAGGCCTGCTTGAGGTGGATAGGATACTTATACGACTCGTTATTGGTTCTCTCGAAGCCTTTGAAGAGTATGTCCGTGGTCACAAGGAATATGTAACAGGCAGGAGTCGTCCTTGGACTGTCAGTTCCCCTACCCTCGCTATTCTCCCTCGGTTGATATACCCTGGTGGAGCCTCCACCGTGGAGGACTTTGCGGTGTCTCGTATCGACTCTGATTCTTCTGCTCTGTCGGATGCCTCTTTTGGTCTTTGTGGCTTATGCTTGCTTCGAGCAGAGAAGGAAGCCCCGATGGATCGAGGCCATCTCGATAGTCTCACTCGCGGTACTCTACGAGATCCTCGTGCTGCTCACGGGTGATATCATGTTGTTCGACTCCGCTTTGATTGATGCAGTTCTTCCGAGTCGAATCCTTGCTTCACGATCGCTATACTTCTATTGGCATTGTTCAACACCTTCGTGCTTTACCGGAGGAATCTCTCAATTGCAGTGCGGTGTCATGCCAAGCTTTGTAAATGAATACCGAGTATTATTATCGCCACTTATTTAATGTATTGTTGCTCCCCCTGTTGATGGGCTTTATGTCCGTCCTCCCCGATGGCTGCTCGGGATCGCTCATATCTGGTCCGTCCTCATTGTCGACCCCTACTCTTACATCATATCTATACTTCCTATAATTCGTGTGTAGCTCAAGCCAACGATAATTGCTTGTTACTGCTACTCTTAGGCTCACGTTACTCGGCTGACACGTTATCTTCGAGCTTTACTATGGTCATTGGTCTGACTACAGCAATCGTGCTGCCTATTGTTCAGCTTAATCAATGTTTGTTGTGTTGCTTTTCCATAGTCCACATCGGTACGTCATGAATTTAGTCGTTGTGACACGACTTGATTTCTCAGCAATGCCAAATTAAGACCCTTCGGGATGTTGGCGGCCTCCAACTATCTTCTTCCTCTTCTTTTGGTTCATACAGAATCTGCCAGTAATGTCTGTAATGTTTATTCACAAATCAATATCTTGGAATTACCGACACTATGTTTTCATAGAGGCACAGTGATGGCGACCCACTCCTCCAAGTGGAGAATAAGGAACTTCGCAACTCAACGTATCGATGTACGAGACGAATTTATTTTACAATCATCACAGCAGTAGTCGCTTCCCTAGCTCTTTTACAGCAGAATCGAAGTGCTTACACCGCACTTGTCGGCCGCCGGTCCACTTCAATCCATACAGGGGATTCATTTGGACCTTTACGAAGAGTAGATGAACCTGCGGACGATTATCGTGGATGTGTAGCGGTTGCGGTGGACGTTTTACCTCTTGAAAAAACGTTCGGATATTTTGCGTGTCCTGTTCTAATTGCTGTGGGGAACGTATAGATGTATGCCGATGTAGGAGTAGAAAGCGTACATTCGAGGGACCGACAAACCTGAATCGGAATAACTACACGACAAGTTGACGGTGAGGGGCTTCATACGCCGATATGAGGAAGTCATTGAAGCGGTCGATCATTGGAAAAAAGGTGTCACTCGTGTTCCATATCGCCTCGTCAATTACGTCCAGGGAGGAGTGCATCACAAACTCATCCAAATGTGGTGAATCGTCGCGACGGCCGGCAGACGAACTCAGATCAGCCGAGTACCTAGAAAGAGTATTAGGCGGAGCGACGCAGGGCTAGTCTGTTACAGTGGCAAGTCGTCCTTTCCATCGACTATCATGAAGAGGTTATATCAGCCACTCGATCGTTACGTCCCGGTGGCGGCGGAG